TTGCCAAAAGATATATGAGATACACTAATGGAGATTGATCATTTCTTTAAAGATATATGCTCCAGCAAGTTGCATACAAATCACATTGAATAGCTTGAAATGATTATCATCGCGACAATATGCAAACTTAAGATTGTATTCCATCTATCATTTTTTTACTCTATGAAGTATCTCGTCATACATTTACTGTATGAGGCAAAAGTTGAAGTACTAGTATAATATAGATGGATGTATCCATTTGAGATGTTAGATATTATATATGCAATGTAATTCATAAATTTCATTGTTTTTCTTAATTGAAAAATATTTGTTTAATTCTATGTAGGTATTTGTTCAATCTAAAAAAAAGGTTAAGAATAAGGCGCATGTTAAAACTTTGATATATGAGGCTTATATTGCTGAGGAGATCTCAACATTTATCTCGTACTATTTCAAACCTTATTTAAGAACAAGAATCAACGACGTTCCATTGCATGATGATGGTGGTGAAGTGTTTTCTAATAGAACCTTGTCATTATTCTCCAATCTTGGACGACCCACACCTAAAAATATGTAAAGGGAAGATAGTTGTTTGAGATAAAGTTCAGACAAACACACAATTACGTTCTATTTAACTATGATGAGTTGAGACCTTTTATTTAGTAAGTATATGTACTACCTAAACTTTGTTAAAAATATACTATTTATATATTGTAATATTATAAATTTATATAATATTGAAAACCTTGTAGGCAACATCGATAATATTTATTGTCCAATAACTCACAGCTAACTGAATTCCAAGTCTTTCGATTATAAGATGAACAATTTTTCACGTAGTTCAAAACACATGTAAGTATTATCACAAACTCATTATCTCTTGCATGTTATTGTATTTCAATACAGAATTCTCATTTATTGTTCATTGTTATACTTGATATATAAGGTTTATCAAATGGGAATGAGTGTTGCTATTTCATTGTCTTTATTAAGCCTGGTTCCTGAAAGAAAAGTTAAGTGCTACAATAGGTATTTTGTCAATGGATATATATTTCATACTAAAGAATATGGGCATTAAAGAAAGACATAACAATGGTATTTCTGTTAAGGGATCGACTTGTTGTGAGTTTGAAGTTGACTACTATGGTAAATTAGAAGAGGTCATGTAAAGGACGACCTTTCAATGTAAGTTTGTTGTGGTTTTAGTTTTTTTTTTTTTTTACTTATAACATAATTTGTTAACAACTAATTAATATTTCATTAATTTTATTTATTTATAAGTTCACTAAATTAAGGTCGCCCAAGTAATAACATCGATGTTTAAATCATCAATGAAGATTCTATTATTTCAATGGAGTCAGGTTTGCAGACATTCTGATTAGAGACTTTATATCGATGCATGGTTTCAAAGATTTGAGATTAGTGTTAACTTATAATTTTATTTATTTTTCATAATTTATTATTTTTATTTTAAATAAATTATTTATACACATAACAAATTGAAGTGGGATAGCGCGCATGATAATGTTGCGAGGCGGGTGTGCGAGAATCACGCTACAAATAGGTAACATAAAAAACAATATGATATTTTTTTTAAAAAAAATTATGTTTTCAAATCTAATTTGTTATTAACTCATATAAAATGCATTGATGGAAGTAGGTTGCCTGATTTTTGGTTTGAAGTGTAGAAAAAAGGTAAAAAAAACATGCTCGAGGTAATGGTCTACAAGGCTGGAATGATGTGGTGGTTTAGAGGAATTTCAGGCCACCATACATCCCGGAGGATATATGGCTGCAATATATCTAGCATGTTACATCTGAGCGTTTCACACGACGTTCCTAGTCTGGTACCTACAACCGAAATAGGTAATTTCATGGTTCGGTAACCATGTACACCGACATCTCCATTTCATTCACTGCATATGCGAAGTGGATTGTAAAATTAATTTTAATGAAATCTATCATTAATTATTTTGTTGTTACTTATAAATATATTTAAGTTGCAATATATTTTTCTTATAGGCTATATCTCTTGGATATAAGTCGAGCCTAATGGAGATGTTTATGGAGACGTACGTGCGGAGTGCAAACTACCAAAAAGAGGTGCAACAGTTCATCGACGACCATGCTCAACACTTTGTTGTATGTTAGTTCAACTTTTTTATTTTATAAGTAATTATTTTCTTGAATTGAATATGATGGCTTCTTTTTTATTTTTCAAGAGACATATAACAGCTAGTTGAGGAAGAGATACGAGGACGATCCTTCAACCTACCCAAATTTCGATCCGGATTTATGGATGGAGGCAGGATCGTTTGATGGACTCGATAAAAATCAAGTGTACGAACTCTCCGATATTATAGTCGAACTCGCAGGCGGCCCGTAATGTCTCAATTATTGGGAGCTCCGAATCAGTATTGAACACCTAATCTGAGGAGATTGTGACATTGAAACAACAATATTAACAACTCTCGATGAATTATGAACAACTCCGTCATCTCATCATGAACATGAGATCATAGATGGGTAGTACATGTGCGTCCTTTTTTTGGACATATGGTCACGGGAACGACTAACCTCGTCCTCATTCTCATCCTCCTCCAACTCCGTCATTGTTCTAGTTGAATTTTTTTTTTGAAACACTTTAAAATTATAATGAATATTTGGATGAATATTATTCAACTTTATTTTTATAATTTTAATGTTTTATACAATTTAATTTGTTTAATTGGTTTTTTTACTATTATTCTATACAATTTTATATTATTTATTCTATGCAATTTTATTTTTAAATTATAACCAATAAATTTACAGATAGAATTGTTCTGTTGGTATTTTACAAAGAGTTACAAAATATTTACTGCATATGCCACAATCACTGACGTCTCTACAAACAGAATCCGTCCTTTGAAATTTCATTGTGAAATATTTACTGAATATGACACAATCACCGACATGATGGTCCGTTGGTGGTTTACTGTTGACAATCCAGATGGAATAATTCCATCGGTATATTTTCTAGTGGGAATGTTTTTTCTTACTCTCATTTTTCGTTTATAAAATCATCGAGGTTTTTTTTTACTGACAAAAGTAGTGACCAAACATGGAATCATCGACAAATAGAATTTCAATGAACAATTGATGGTTTCTTTTTTATTTTTCATATAACAGCTAGTTGAGGAAGAGATACGGGGACGATCCTTCAACCTACCCGAATTTCGATCCAGATTTATGGATGGAGGCAGGATCGTTTGATGGACCCGATAAAAATCAAATGTACAGACTCTTCGACATTATAGTCGAACTTGTAGGCGGCCCATAGTGTCTCAATTATTGGGAGCTCCAAATCAGTATCGAACACCTAGTCTGAGAAGATTGTGACATTGAAACAACAATATTAACAACTCTCGATGAATTATAAACAACTCTGTCATCTCATCATGGACATGAAATCATAGATGGATAGTACATGTGCATCCTTTTTTTGGACATATGGTCACAGGAACGACTACCCTCGTCCTCATTCTCATCCTCCTCTAACTCCGTCATTGTTCTAGTTTAATTTTTTTTTTGGAAACACTTTAAAATTATAATGAATATTTGAATGAATATTATTCAACTTTATTTTTATAATTTTAATGTTTTATACAATTTAATTTGTTTAATTGGTTTTTTTTACTATTATTCTATACAATTTTATATTATTTATTCTATGCAATTTTATTTTTAAATTATAACCAATGAATTTACAAACGGAATTGTTCTGTTAGTATTTCACAAAAAGTTATAAAATATTTACTGCATATGCCACAATCACTGATGTCTCTACAAATAGAATCGGTCCGTTGAAATTTCATTGTGAAATATTTACTGAATATGATACAATAACCGACATGGTGGTCTGTTGGTGGTTTACCATTGACAATCCAGATGGAATAATTCCATCGAAATATTTTCTAGTAAGAATGTTTTTTTTTACTCTTATTTTTCATTTGTAAAATCATTGAGGTTTTTTTTTATTGACAAAAGTAGTGATCAAACATGGAATCATCGATGAATGGAATTTCAATAAACAAATTCCATCGATGACATCATTCGATTGAGATTTACATCAATAATTCTCTTAATGGAGAAATGTAAAGATGTTATTTATGTCAAACAAAATAAATCTAAAAATGCACGGCCAATAAATTGAAAAGGAGATGTTAATGGCAATGCAATTTTAAAATAAAAAGGTAAGCATTCCTTTAGAAGTAAAAGATAGATAAATATGACATCTAATCTCAATTTTTTCCTTTGATTAACACAAATTTTTTTTTTTAATCTTAATGGTCATTGTTTCTAACTAAGAATAAATAATTTTTATTGTTAAGAATAAGTTTTACTTATAGAAAATATATAATAAAATTTATAAATAAATTATAATAATATTTTAAAAACATTAAATACATATAAAATAATTATAAAATTATTGCTATTGAAAAAAAATCTAAATAAACAAACTTAAAAAACAATGAGACAACCAGCTAAAGCCAGTCAAAGATCATAAAAGAACCACGTAAAACCAGGGTAGTCCATTTAAGTTAGATGTACACTCCCTAACTTTTTTTAATTTTATATTCATGTGTATTTGTTTTTCTCTATATACATACTACTGATTTAAATATATCAAGAGAGTTATTTTTTAGGCGATGAGAACAACCACTAGTCAAACCTATTAACCAAGCAATGGAAAACCTAATTTTCTTGTGAGGTTTCTTCGCGGCTTCATGAGCGGAGCTGTCTACGAAAAGCCATCTCATTCACTTTCGGTCCCTGGTCCTCTTAGCTGGCCAAGCGCTGTAATGTTACCAATAGATGCAGTTGACAACGAGAGTAGCGGCGCGAGCATAGGTTGCCCATGAAACAACGCGCTTTTTATCTGTCATGTCACCTCTTGCAACTTTCAATTCTCAACCCACTCTCCGCGTAGCTTCCCTCCCCAAGATTTCAACACTTCTGAGACTATATATACCCAATCTCCTCCTCCGTTTCTCTCCACTCACAAAATCCTCTCTTCCATCACTACCGATCATCAGATTAATCATGGCCTCCTTTCTTTCTTCACATTCTCTTCTTCAACTTGTTCTGTTAATCTCTATTATACAATTCAGCTCAGCAGCAAGGACCTTCTCCGTGTCAGATCAAAGCCAAGATCCCTTGTTATTTCAGTACCACAATGGCCCTCTTCTTACCGGTGAAGTTTCTATCAACTTGATCTGGTATGGCAAGTTTAAGCCATCTCAGCGTGCCATTGTCTCAGATTTTATTGCCTCTGTCTCTTCTAGAAGACCCACGACAGCCCAACCCTCTGTGGCCACGTGGTGGAAAGCTACTGAGAAATATTACAACCTTGTCAAGACGAAGAAAACCTCTCCTCTTCTCCTCTCCGTAGGAACACAGATTTTAGACGAGAGCTATTCATTGGGGAAATCGCTCTCCAGCAAGCAAATCGTGCAGCTAGCATCGAAGGGTGGTCAAAAGCGTGCAATCAACGTTGTTTTGACATCATCCGATGTTGCTGTTGAAGGGTTTTGCTCTAGTAAATGTGGTACTCATGGGTCCTCTTTGAGTGCTAAAAAAATCAGCGGTAAGAGATCGAAATTTGCTTACATCTGGGTTGGTAACTCTGAGACTCAATGCCCCGGTCAATGTGCGTGGCCATTCCACCAGCCAATCTATGGACCACAGAACCCTCCATTGGGTGCACCCAACAATGATGTGGGTCTTGATGGTATGGTAATCAATCTGGCTAGTCTTCTGGCTGGGACTGCAACAAACCCGTTTGAAAATGGCTATTTCCAGGGTCCAAAGGAGGCTCCTCTTGAGGCCGCATCTGCTTGTCCTGGGGTCTATGGTAAGGGTGCGTATCCTGGTTATGCTGGGGATTTGTTAGTGGACTCTACAACTGGTGCTAGCTATAATGCTCATGGTGTTAACGGAAGGAAATACGTGCTTCCAGCTTTATTTGACCCTTCAACTTCAACTTGTTCTACTTTAATTTGAGAAGGGATCACATTAGTGTGTATGAGAGTAGAGAGATTATTCTTTGATTTAATCATTCTTTCATTCAATTACAATGAAATCAAATTTTAAGCATGTTTGAATTAATGCTGCCTCTTTAATATGATGATTCAATACTAAATTGTTTTGTCTGATAGTTTTTTACAATTCAGATTCGTAATCACGAAATTAATATTCATTTCTTATTGTTTACTGTGTTGTATATCAAACCTTAAAATGACGTCGTTGGACATAGAGGTAGTTTTTCCCATTTCACTATAAGTGATTAATTAAGAGACCTAAAATTAAAATAGAAAAATCTTTCACTGTAAATGATGACATCAAGGCACTATTTATAAACAACTTTAATATTGTTTATTAAACCTTATAAGTTATATCTATGTTATTGAAGTTTGAAGTGATATCATTTCAATCATAATTATAAGTGTTGTTTTCTATACAAAAAAATTATGTTTTTAGTTTAGTCTATAGAATCAAGGTTGGCTTGGCATGGGTACATAAACTTCATTTATATTGCTACCATGCTCCTAGATATATATTAGTCTATTAGCTCGTGTCTTGTTTTGCGTTGGATTAAAAATTTTAAACATTAAAAATGTGAATAATTTTTTTATTGTGTGATTCAACCTGGTATATAAAAAGATAATTTTAAAATCTCGCAACCTGTTTGTCAATCTCTGTTTTCTAACTAAATTGCATGAGAGTTAGTCCATATTAAATTGATTGATTTCATGGGTCCAAATGCAATTTTGATGGTCGGTAAAAACATAACTTAGTTTCTAACAAAACTCCTAGGTGACATTTTTTTTTAAAAAAATATTAAAATAATAACTTATTTGATTGATTTCAATCCCCTTGCGACCTATATCATGGATTCCTTTGAGTTTAATAACTTTCTTTAAAAACTATATTTTAATTACATGATAAACATATATCATTGCAAAATTGAGCACCAACCCAAAAATAAAAACTTATTTAAGACATTGATAACCCAAGTAGAAAACATAAAAAAAATTTACATAGTTTATTTCCAAATAAATTTAATATTGAAGTATAAAATCAAGAAAAATAATTAAAGGAAAAAAAATCTGCCTAGTTGGTGAATTCATCAATCCTATGAAGCGGTAATTCAGGCTAGCACATCAAACTTGTGAATCAAGTTATGGACCCCAATGAAATTATATTTTTTTCTCCAAAATTATTTTTATTTAATTATATGATAATAAAAATAGATGACCAAAAAATCAAGTACCAACTCAATAATATAATGTTGAAAAAAATAATTAAAAAATGATAAACAAATATGATCGCAAAATGTTTTTATCTCTAAAAATAAATTAAATGTATATAAAAATTACAAAAGAATCATACTAATATCTTCAGAAATTAAACATATCCAACATAATTAAAACACATATTCACTATTTAAAAACAGATGAATAAGAAAACAAATCATTAAACATACACTTAAGTCAGGTCATCAGACTTAAAGCACCACATATGACATAATCATAAAGCCCAATTCTAGGAAATGATATGTTGAAGTATGAAATAAAAAAAAATTAAAAATAAGAAATCCAAAATTAAAAACGGCAATCAAAAGAATGAATGTTACAATCAAAATTAAAAATAAATTAAAGTGCAGCAACAAATTTTCACTTTGAGATTTAAAATGAAAAAAATAAAAACAAAAACCAAAACAATGATGATGAAAAAAAAAACAATACACTATCAACTTGGATTAAAAGTTGAAATTAAAAAAAAAAAACAAAGTTAAACTTTTATAAAAAGAAAACAAGTCCAAAAAATCTCTTGTCTTCATCTAGTCACTCCCTTAGCTACTAAGATTGTAGAAACAGATGCGTCAAAATTAGGGTATGGAGGAATTCTCAAACAAGTTCAAAATTTCAAAGAATAAATTCTTTAATTTACTTATATCCATTGGAATGATTGCCAAAATAATTATTCTACCATCAAGAAAGAAATTCTTTCATCTGTTCTAGGTATTATACAATTTCAAAGCGACTTATTAAACCAGAAATTTCTTTTATGTATTGTTAAAAATCTGCTAAAGAAATTTTACAAAAAGATATTCAAAATATTTTTTTACAATAGATTTTTACTCGATAGCAAGCTATATTAAGTATTTTTTTTTTATTTTGATATTGAATATATAAAAAGAGATACAAATTCTAATCATAAAAAAAAACATATACAAGCATTTAATTAAATAAATCGAGAATTATTTATGTCAATTGTTGTAACCCAATTTTGGCTCATTGGCTTTTCATTTAATTTTATAAGGTTTAAACTGTAAAATTAAAAGATCATAGATTTATTTTGATAAAAAGTATGATTTGTCTACTTGCGTGAAAACTAGGGACTACAATATACCTTTGCCATTTTATCCTTATCCTCAAGATAATCCTCAAGATAATGATAGTTGTCTACTTTCAAATTCGATTCTAATTCGAACTTCAAAAAAGAGAATGAATTTGATGGAGACTTTACTTCTCGCAAGCGATGAGACTCTTGCACTATAAATACTAATCTTAATATACGAAAAAAAGAGGAAAAAAAGGAGGGAGGAAGGACAATTAGAGAGAAACCCTAAAAGAAGAGACCCTAAGAGAAGGTCATTACTAGAAACCCTAAAAGAGAGAAATATAAAAAAGAAAAGGGGCGGCAAACCCTATACTAGCTGCCGCCCCCTCAACCCTTGTATTGTTTAGCCCGATCTCCCTCAACTTCTTCTCCAGCAGCTGCACTCCTAGGTAAGTTTTCTTTCTTTCGTGTTAACATAATTAACTAGTCACTATTGCATGCATGCGTGAACCTTTCACACATGGCTAGGCTAGATCTAACCCAAAAAAAAAAAGGTTAGTCGGGTTTAGGCTTTAGGCCTAGTTGACCTACACTGTGCTTGTTAAGGATGTGTTTGGCAAAACACACCCTTATGCCTTGGCCATAATTTTTATGCCCATTTTAGTTAGATATTTGGTTAAACGAGCCCTTTTCAGATATTAGAAAATTCAAAAATATTTGGGAAACTTCATTGATTTATTTATAGGTCCCTCACATTTTTTTTTTCCTTGTGTTTGTGTTTCTTGTAAATGTGCTTAATTTGTGAACTATTACTGTTAAACACAACTATATCATGCAACGTTTTTTTTACTTCCAGCTAAAAATGGTAAATAATAATAAAGGATAAACAAGAAAAAAAGAACATCAAAAGTTTCTTCTTCAAATTCATTTTTGCAAAAATATTCACTGACGCTAGAGTCAGGAGTATCGTATTTTTGGTTTTGTGTGATATTTACCAACGTCAGAGTTAAAAATATTCATAGGAATTGTTCACTGACGCCAGAGTTAGGAACATAAAAGGAAGAATAAAAAAGGAAAAAAAGAGAACAAATTCTTAGCAATTTTAGACAAAATCAGCAATGCAGCCTACCTTAGGTAGAACGCTTAAGGGGTGATAGCATCTTTCCTTTTGTGTAACCAATCCCGTATCATAGAATCTCTGTTGACCAGTTAGGGTTCCTAGTGACCATAATACTAGGTGGCGACTCCATGAACAAGACCTTTTCCTCTAAAAAAACAAGATGTCAGATATCTGTTTTTTTTTTCAATCGATATAATTTTAATTGGTCACCGTGATGTCCAGGTGTGACATCAATAAATATGAAACAAAAGGTGTTAATGCATCTATTCAATTCACCTCATTGCGTGTTAGAAAAAAAATAATTATAATGCAAAAGAATAAATCAGTATGTGTTGTTAACGTGTTTCTTGATATCGAATAAAACATATAACTATAAATTGAAAATCTAATGCTTATATTTAATAAAATAAAATAAAATAAGGATCATGTGCATTAATAAAAACATGTGTAATCCCAAGTTAATTTTTAACATAGTTAAAAAAATAAAACATTATTGTGAGTGTTTTTCGCTATATCATGATCGATACAATCCAAACTACAACAAAGAATCCATTAGAAGTTTCAATTGGGCCAATTACAAGATTAAGGATAAAGAAGTTTGAAGAGTATTCAATGAGCTTATTTAGAGTAATTGATCCAAAGTGAATTTCAAAAAAGTTACAACTTCAACAAGTAATGATTAGATCTTAATCAATCTAATATATGTGTAAGAGGAGTTCGATCCATCTACAACATAGGCCTAATTATTTTGCAATAATGAGCTAATTAATTTTGGCATTAGAGGTGGTTTTGAGTTTTTTCCCAATAAATTTTTTTACTTTAACAATGATAATTTTTAAATCATAATTATTAACAATGCATTAGGCTGAAACTTTACCTAGAGTTTTTAGAGATCTTGTTCTATTTTCACTTAAAATTCTAAAGTAATTGGATGCTAGAAAAGCTTTGCGATAAGGTATAGAAGCTGCTATGTAAAAATTGTATTAGTTTACTATTTGATTCATGATTTTTTTCTATTTTATTTAGAACTTTTTTATTATTTTTTTAACATTGTTTATAAATTTTTACCTATTATAAATAGGGTTATTTAGGTTATACTTTAGGGTTTTTTTATGGGGATAGACTTTAATTTTAGTAATTATTATTGAGTGTACGAGGTTTTGCTCATACCTTTTGATTCTTCATTGAACTATTATGACTTATTAAATAATTAATCAAGTTTCATGATGTCTTCCATACTTCTCATTCATGTTTTTTTATAGGTGATGAGTGAGGATTCGATTACTTATAGTTTGGTATCTTAGCATAAGTTATCATTGTGTTAAGCTTAATTTTTTTTTAATCTTAATGGTCATTGTTTCTCACCAAGAATAAATAATTTTTATTTTTAAGAATAAGTTTTACTTATATAAAATATAAAATAAAATATATAGATGAATTATAATAATATCTTAGAAACATTAAACATATACAAAATAATTACAAAATTATCGTATATAAAAAAAGCTACATAAACAATCTTAAAAAATTAAAGAGAATAGATATTGATTTAAATGTAAATCAAAAACATATTTTAATAAAATACATATTAAAAAAGTATTAATTACAAAAAATAAAGTTAAGTGTTATTGGGTGTGACAAG